AAAAAAAAAAAAAAAGAAGGCAAAAGATATGATTATTCACTCTGTAATCTGTATATCGTCTTTATAGAGAACACAAAGGGCCAAGGATGCCCGTATATGGTCTCTGAAGTTTATATTTACTGAAACTTGTACTTAAGTTCTGTGACACTGAATTGAAGTAATCAAAGTTCGACTTATGACTTGAACGGCTCTTTTCTCTTCAACTATGCAGCGCCATCTAGTGTTTCAGTTGCTTCAGATTTCATATAATAGGAATCAATAAAGCATTAGAGATGGGCTTCAATCAAATTCTCCAAACAGGTTCTTGCTTGTATTGGTCGTCGAGGGATGTCAAGTGGATGGAATGACAGATGACACACCTCCAATTTCCTAAAAGATGTTGAGCCGAAGGAAACCGGAAGTTAAAAGTGGACAACATCATAAATGTAAGTTTTCGCTCAGCAATTTTGCTTTATTGCAAAGTTTCTTCCTGGCCAACAATAAATTACTCATTGGCACCAGTGACTTCAAGTTCTTCTGCATATTGCTTTACTCTTTTTTAGTCTCCAGGTAAAAGTTTTGACTCTACATAATATACAAAGAGCACGCTGAACAAATTGATTTGGCCCAGTCCTCTTGTGAGATGCTGCAAAATCAAGAGCAAGATATTAGACTTCATTTATAAAGATAGCCACTTTGTAGCTTGTGTCTTCCTTGGACTCTGCATCTTTTTAAGTAGGCTTGGAAGTGTCTCATTTGTCTTTCAATCCACTTGATATCCTTCAACAACTAATATCAACAAGAGCCTGTTTAGACAATTTGATTGGAACCACTCTCTAGTGCTTTGTTGATGACTTTTGTAGCTCCTACTATGCTCGCATGTTTAAGGGTGTTGTATTTAACTTTCTCGTTATGATGTTCAATATTTTACTGTAACACCTTGAAACTTTTGGACAATATTCTCTCGTTCTTGGAGTTAAATTTGTACTATCTGGAAGTTCAGTAGATGGAACAATGTTGGTTTGATTTTCAATTTTTAGGAAAGTTCCATTTATGTTGATTAATTTGATCACAGAAGTTCTTTTTATGTTCAAGTTATAGTACTCTAATATTGCCCATCCACAAAACTAACAGCTTCTCCTACATGGAAAACGAGGTGCATGAATTATCTGTCGTAGCTTGGTTGTTGGAGTTGTCCAAAGTTCAATGGTGGTTATTATGATTCTTTTTCTGCATATTAAACACATGCAAAGAGAGTGAGGTAGTGGTTATTATCGAAAGTTGATTTGGGGCCCC